ACTTTTTCTCTGTGCATAATCAATTGCTCCGAGAGAGGGCAAAAATCAGCCAGTCGTAAAGAAATTGAGTATGCAGATGCCCGCGAGCCGAAGGGGCGCTGAGGCACCCTCCGCGGGCTTGGTGAGGACCCGCGGAGACAGAGAGAGCCCGAAGGGGAGGGCTTTGTATTGCCAAGCTCGACCTTCAAACGCAAACCGCAGAAACTGACGGTGGCGAGGAAGAGTGGAGACATGAAAATACGCGTCCATCAGGTCTAGTGCTGCAGACCAACCCAGAGGACGAACGCACCGGAGGATGCGCTTCTGCGTGAGCATTCTGAACAGCAGCTTGTGCAGGCAGCGGTTCAAAACGTGCAGATCTAGGATTGGCCGTGACCCACCGCTCTTTTTGGGCACGATGAAGTGTGGGCTGTAAACCCGCTCTCCATCTCGGCTGGAGGGAGCGGCTCGATTGCATCCTTCGCCAGGAGGACAGCAATCTCCTCTCGCAAGACAAGGGCGGACAGGGGGCTGACCCTGGTGAATACACACTCGCGACTTGGGGGGCCGTTTCGCGAACTGAATCGCATAGCCGAGTCTGATTGTGCGTATGAGCCACCGCACAGCTAACCAGGCAGGCAGAGCTCCCGCTAATGGACTCATCGCTACAATCGCTGACAGCGCGGGGCAGTGGGGCAGTGGGGCAGCGCGGAGTGGGTGTGCTGATCCGGGAAGCTTGCGGGTCCCACGGAAAAGCTGGAGGTGAGATATTTGCTCTCACTCCGAGCCCGAGCTTCGGAGGGGAGGCTCGAGGGGTGGGAGAAAGGAGACCGTCCTCCCAGCGCTCGTGAGCCACTGGCGAAACGCACCGAATCTGCAAGCTAGAAAGCATAGCGTCCCAGACTGGCAGATTTCGGGCTGTCACATCTGGGGAAGCGAAAAGTGCCCTTTCATAATGTTTTCATGGCAGTAAAAAGTGCCGTTGGAAATGGGGCCCCGCCCTCCAGCGGGGAAAGAGCAAGTTCCCTCTTCTCCAGATGGCCTGTCCCAGGGACGCTTCGCGGTCCGTTGCCAGACTTAGCGGCGTTCTGGGCAGGGGGGCTGCCTTCTTCCAATGTGCCCGACGCGCTCGCTTCGCCAGAGGCGTGTGCGGGGGCGGAGCAGCTCTCGTAGGCGGGCGCCTTCGGCAAGGAGCAGGTATGAATGGCACGGGCGGGCGGAGCGGGCTACGGACCGCCGATAAGACATCACCCATCAACTGCTCTCTCACCGCCTTGAATTCCTGGGTGAATTCACAGACGGTGTAGCCGAACATGGCTTGGGATATGGGGAAAGTCAAGAAAGCGGACTTTGTCGACTTCGCGCATATCAGCCAGGGGTGGCGCATCTGGATCACTAATGTGGACATCGTCCTCCCCAACGCACACGCAGCGGACTCAGTAGTCCGAAGAGTTAAGTCGGCGGCGGTGCGAAGCTCGTAAGCCTGGGTTGGACCCACCCTCGTGCAGCTCGGCCAGCGCCTGCGCTAGGTAGCGCTGGTAGGTGGCTATCGCATGCAAGGCGGAAGCAGCCTGGCCCGCAGCTATGTAAGCTCTAGCTCCGAGAGAGGTAGATAACTTACAGGCTTTGGATGGGAGACGAGGCGGACCCCGCCAAGAAGAGGCGCTGGGCGGATTTACCGCCATCGCGCACTCAACCTGAGGAATCGCCACATACCCCCTGGCTGTTCCACCGTCAAGAGTGGTTAGGGTGGAGGGACACGCAGCACGAGCAGAAAAAAGTGCTTTTCAAGACCGCGTGGGGGCGAGCGGGTCTGGATCATCATCGGACAATGAAAGCCCACCCTCCGATGCCGCGGTGGACGTCTGGTCTCCGGTGTCATCGGGCGTAAGGGCTACCATCTGTTAGACGGATCGCTTCCCCCGCCCGAAGCTTGGATGGAGCGCTTAGAGGAGCGGGAGGTCCGCGGGCCCGTGGGCGATGGATTATCTCTCGCTGAAACCCTCAGATCTGCCCGAGTACCCTCTGCAGAGCAGGGGACAACTGGGGTGGTTCGCCCTTTTGCAAAGGTTAGCCGCGATCTTTACTGCGCAACAGTCATGGCATCGCAATGACGACATGAACTGCCCGCGAGCAGCGCATTAACATGCTGGACCCCCCAGACATGCAACGCAGTGCTCGTGCCCATCATCCGAGGACAGGAAACCACCGCATCCAGAAACGCACAGTCGGAGCGCCGTCCTGAAATGGACCGCTCTGGAGGACCGGACCCAAAGAACGCCAGGCAAGGGAGAAACCCAGCTCGACCGTCTGCCGCTGCGTGTACACACTCTTGACCGGGAGAATGCTCTCGTTCGCTCAGAATCGCTGGTCACAGCAGGAGGAACCCTCATCGACTCGATCAGAAAGTCTTTGAAGCGAAAAGGATGGCGTCTGCTTGCTCCAGGTGTGCTTATATGCTGGGATAATTGGCAATGAAGTACACCTGTGCAAGCTTACGCTGCCAATTCATTGCATTCATTGGCCCGTTCAATACTCTTTCAGACAAGCGGCTTCTGAACCGAATCCTCCCATTTCGTGGATTTCAATCAATCCACTCTATGGCACTGAAGTTCCCCAACCGAAGGGGAACATACATTATCTGTCCTTATAAATAAAACGTAAATACAGTGAATCTAAAGTATTTCAAGCCAGAACATTTCTAATGTTGGACTGATGGTTGATTTCTTTGAGTTGTTCTGTAAGGGAAAATGTCATTCATTTGGTTCTCAGGTGTTTTTTCTTTATTAAAAATCTTTTACAAATGTACAAACCCTGTCATTGATCTTGTCCTCTGCCCAATTGAACCTACAGCTTTAATAGTTACGCTTTTAGTTATGCTAAAAACTGCAGTTTAGGAAAAAATACTTTAGAAATAGCAAGTTTAAGTTGCTATCATTTAAATCAGTTATTTAAAAACATGAAATTATAAATAAATACTATTTTACAAATGTCCCCATGTTTCAGTCAGGTCGCAGTGAGGTTGCAAAACAAAAAACAAAAAAAACAAACAAAAAAAAAACAGGAGCGCTAGCATTTACAGTAAGGGAATGACATCCGATGCGGTACAAAGTTTGATGTTGTATTAGAGAAAATTTATATTGATTACCTATTTATATATATACACACACAATTGAAGTAAGAATTATGAATTATTAGACTGCTTGTTTATTTTTTCCCCAATATCTGTTTAACGGAGAGAAGATTCTTTTAACAGATTTCTAAACATAATAGTTTTTAATATCTCATTTCTAATAACTGATTTATTTTTTCTTTGCCATGATGACAGTAAATAATATTTTACTAGATATTTTTCAAGACACTTCTAAACAGCTAAAAGTGACATTTAAAGGCTTAACTAGGTTAATTAGGTAAACTAGGCAGGTTAGGGTAGCTAGGCAAGTTATTGTATAACAATGGTTTGTTCTGTAGACTATCGAGAAAAAATATAGCTTAAAGGGGATAATAATTTTGTCCCCAAAATGGTGTTTAAAAAATTTAAAACTGCTTTTATTGTAGCGGAAATAAAACAAATAAGACTTTCTCCAGAAGAATAAATATTATCAGACATACTGTGAAAATTTCCTTGTTCTGTTAAACATAATTTGGAAAAGATTTAAAAAATAAGAAAAAAATGTAAAGGGGGCTAATAATTCTGAATTCAACTGTATATATATATATATATATATATATACATACATACATACATATACATGCAAGATTAAAGTTAAATTTGTGAGGTCCATTTGTTATAGCACCCTTCCCAATGGATATTCGACACGACAAAATGGCCAAGCATCCAGCCCGAAATATACAACTATCTCACTGAAACTCCAAGTGTTTTTCATGTTCCATGATTACCAGATTCAAAACTATGTAGTGCTAAAAAGCCGAGTTAAAGAAAAGACGGAACTGTGCAAGGCCTGGGTAATCATCAAGCAAAACAACTGCATTCTGACAGCGAACTACACCTGTATGGTAGGGTTTGTGAACTTACATTTTTACATTTCATTTTAAGCATTCAGTGTCCGCAGTTTAATCAACCATATTTAACTGTTTTTGCTGAAACCATTGCTGCAATCAAAAACGAGTAATGTGTATGATTCAGCATATCATGATCTTACCTGATATGAAATGAGAACTGCAGAGGCGAGCATTTTTAATTAGCTCCTTACTCCATTCAGCTCTTCTGATGCTGTTAGCCAAAAACGTCTGCAGTTGGCATTAAAAGCAGTGTGGTGTACTGTAAAATTTAGGTTTTCTATTTTTGGACTTGAACTCGAATTTGGCATCCTACCACACAACACAACGTCTTTTTTTGCAACTGCTATGAGTGGTTGAACCTGTTTGACATCATGTGTGATATAGGTTGGTAATTCCCTAATAATCTAATGGGAATTAGTTGGCATGTAGATGCAATGTAACTCAAATTCAACAAATGGACAATCAAAATAAAGTGTGACAGATTTTTTTTGATGAGGAGGACAAGCTTAAAGCTCAGGTTCTGTTACATTTTTTATAAGTGAAAATCTACATTTCAGGTAGAATGTCCTGTTTGTTCTGTAGACAACTGAAAAAAAGAAAAATGCTTAAGGGCGTTAGTAATATTGACTTTAAAATATTACTAGAGACTTTCTAGTCGAAATAAAACAAAAAAGTCTTTCCCCCAGAGGAAAGAATATCATAGGAAATACTGTGAAAAAATTGGGAAATATTTGAAAAAGAATAAAATGTTCACAGGAGGGCTAATACCTTGGACTTCAACTTCACATATAAATTTTCTTCACAATTAGATTTTATTTTATAACTTTCATGTGGACAACAGTACAGCCAATCTGTTTTATGACCTTATATTTAGAAACTTTTGACCATGGTTATTATTCTGCAGGACTCAGGATTCAAAATGCTTATCAAACCCTCTGGCTATAATGAACGTGTCATATATACGATATTAGAAAATAACGTGACAAGCAAGCAAGCAGTCATTTTGTTTTGTTTATTGAAAAGGTTTTGATTGACAGCGTAATTCTGTCAGGCACAGACTGATAGAGTGTAAAGAGGTTTAACAGCTCGTAAGGGGCACAACTGAAACAGAACGGAATGTTCCACAGACACAGAGACATGGGAAAATAAAACATAAAACACTGTTAGTCGACTATTCCACTCTTTTGTTAAATGAAGAGCGATGCAGATGCTGATGTTACCTCATCGCATGTAAAACCCAAATCTACCTGGAATGCAATGTAAGAAATATTACCGAAAAGAATATTTCATCCCTGTGAACAAGAAAAAAAAAGACCTAGATAAAATCTACTTGACACATAACAATCATTCGCAAATTTAAATCTATAACTTAATTTAATAGCTTAATTCTAATAAGAGCTGAATGGCACTATCACATAGAGCTACTGTATCACATTGAAGAAAAGAACAAATGAGTCAAATCAAAGAGTGTTGACATCAGACCAGTATTGCTCATCATCATCCAGACGCTTAAAAAGTGCTGGGAAACACACCGTCCTTTAGAAAACTGTCTGGATGTTCCTTGTAAACATTAAAGAAAACTTTCTTCAACTCTGAAAAACGCATCCTGGCTCTACCTCCATCATAAACAGCAACAACAACAACAAAATGTGAAGGGAATGCTGTCCTTTTGAATAAGACAAGGGCATGAAAGTCAAAGGATGAAAAAAACAAACAAACAATAAATCAAACATAAATAATATAGGGAATAAATAATGTAGGGTAGTGATGGCGGGGGGGGGGGGGGGGGGGGGGGGGTGGAAGGACCAGCAACATTGTTTGATATGTCTAAAACAATGCAAGATGGCTGTCAGTAGTAGAGGAGGATAAGGAGGGGAGCCAGAGGTTACAGGTTGTACAAACAATTTAAAAATTAAAAAAAAGAGTAAGCTGAGAGCGATCGCTTGCCCTGCCCTGCCATCCCACACCAAACAGTAAATCAATAACTCATTATGGACAAACACTGGATAAACATGATGTCCCTCAGCTGGGAGAAGGAAATACAGAACAATGTCATTCAAATCTGAAAAGTACATAATCTGAGAATGAAAGAAATAGTTCCACAAAAATAAAATTAATTTACTCAATCCCTCAAGTTCTTTTTCAAACGAATTTTAAAAACTGGTAACTACTGACACCCAGTGTAGGGGAAAATACAAACAAATTAACTAAGGGTAGTCAATGACTACCTGTTTTTAAACATTCAGAATTCAGAATTTCATCCACTGTATTCAAAAGAGGAATGAAACAAGCAGAGGGTAAGTAAATGGCGGTATTTTTTGGGTGAACTATCCCTTTAAAGTGGTTGCACAACTGGATGAAAAGCACAGCACAATGTCTTTAAATTTTAAACAGTTGAGCTGCATCAAAATTCAAACATTTGACTGCTACAGTATATTGAATTAAAAGAGCAGTACAGCAGGTCCAACTTATATTTTACAAACAGTACAGCAGGAACAATAAGAATAGAGTTTAACAATATTAGCCAAACTGACAACAGAACGTCTGGACAATTTCATACTTTTATTGGCCAAAAACCAACCAGTGATTGATTGACTGGTATGTAAAGCTACCAGTCACAGTTTGTTTATTTAAGTACATTATTTAGGAGTTTAAAAATGTAACAGTGATGTCGATAAACAATTTGGGGAGCTTTGAAAAGTCCATAACTACACATACTTTTGAAGACCTTGCATTTAGTTGATCATGATAACTACATTTCATAGTTGTAAAACATTGGCTGTCTATTTCAATATTAAAGTTGTGTCTGAGAGCTTAAGTTGTGCTCTCAATAGAGTTTGAGAATGAGAAATTTGTTCTGGAGGAGCTGCAAAAAGGGACAGGACAAAACACATTGATGTGACTTTGATAAAACGGTTGATTGCTTTATATTTAACATTTTTAATCTACCAGATAACAATTTTGTGTTTAATAGACGTCTAATAGATATCTAAATGTTGACAGTTTGGCTAAAACAACAAAACTATCTTATAAACATCTAAGAACAGCCCAAAACTAGACTAGTCGTCAAATAGACCGACTGGACAGACTTTATGTGTAGTCAATCATTTCTGTTTATTTGATGACTAGTCTAATTTTGGCCTATTCTATTCTATTTTCACTGACAGCTCCAATTTAGCCTTGTTTTAGCCTAGACGGCTATGTTTGACATCTATTAGACATCTATTAGACATCTTTTAAAATCAAAGAAAAAAAATGCTTGCTGGGCTTTTATTTAGCTCAGTGAATAATTCACAAAGCTTGAACTTTTGAACGCAGCAACATGCGAAACTCGTTGCATTTTCAGTCTTATGCATTTGCACAAATATGAATGGAAGTCAATGGGGGCGAAAAGTGACATGACTTGTTGCCTCGCTGGCCTATCAGGCAGTGAAATTAGGGTCAGCATTTGTGCATGAAGGCACATTGTAAAACTGGATTTCGACAGGGTTCTGAGACAGCAAAACATGTACAGTAAGATAATGAGAACGTTGGTGATAACCAAGGGATTTTTTTGCTTACTACAGTATTAAATACTTGCTAGAAATGCCCTCAAATGTGGAAAACATCATGACATGATGTAGACAACATCATGTTTATTTTTCAGCTCAACTGTCAGTAATGGGACGCTCAAGTTTGTGGGATATGGAGAGCAGTGAAGGACACATCTAGACTGCCTTCAAAATTCGATCACAGTTCAGATTCAGACGTGCCTGATGCCATCCTGCCTTGGAATTTAAATGTAAAGCTTTCAGGCACAGCTTTTGTTTCCAGATGGGCTGTTAAAAAAATCTTGACACATGCAACATCTGGGCAGCATCCTCAAATTGCATAATTGAGTAGGTACTGTACTTGTTCTGAATAAATAACTACACAAGTACTTAAAAAGTATAGGCTACATATTATGCATGTGTGTAGTATAGTACATTATAGTACATGTTTGCCCAGTTTTTAAATTCAGACATCATACTTTTGTCACACATGGCTCCCATTCTAAGTGGATCCCCAAATAGTATCAACACAACATCTCTGTTTTTCAGGGAATAATAGTTTACATGTGTAACAGAGTGTTTTTCACCTACTATATATGTATTAGTATGCAATTTCAGATTTCTTTTGTTGCTTTAATTAAGTTGGTGTTATTTACAAAAAAAGCTATATGTTTCTTCGAACACTTTGAACCACCTTCAATCAAGTTTAGTGATCAGATTATAAGCATCAGATGAACTGATTTTAAACATGACACAGTGCTGAGCTTCTCATCCAGTGTGCTACCACTCTCAATGCATCAAAGTGCCTTACAAATATTAACGTTCTCGCTTTTAAGAAACACCCTGCTTAAACCTTTACTGAAGTGGCTGTACATTCAAACCGTACGCATGTTGCAAGCCGCTCAACTCCCTCCCAGGCACTTAACAAGTACAAAAAAATTCAATGGTTTGCAGGAGGAGGGAGCCACCTGTACAGTCACCTCCCATCAAATCTACAGTTTTCGAGTTTAGCAGCAAGCGAATCATCCTCTTTTTTTCTCCCCCTATTATATATTATTGCCAGCTTTCTGCTTGAATGCAATTGTCTGAGGACACCCTGAGACACAACCAAGCTATCCCATAATGCTTCGCTTCGATTCGCAGGGCCAGAGACACTCATCTGACAACCATGCACGCTAGAGTTGAATAGCAATAACGGTTCTGTACTCATTAACATAAAACTCAGAGCAGAGAGAAAGATTTTGGCACTTTGCAAACATACCGACCCGGAGGATTACCTCAAAGTGTTATTATACATATTCATTAGCAAAAAGAGCAAATAAGAGCGATAAATTTGAAATATGGTTTCACCATATAATCTATAAACGCTATGTTAGGTTTCACCCTCATAGCACTCCTTCATATAATGTTAAATAAAAGGACCACAGCACTCGCCTTTGGAGAAAACCAACACTGTTTTTTTAAAGAAATACTATGGTGAACTGTCATGCATGGAAGCCCAAATATGGAAAATATGGTAAAAGGACTCGTGGTCCTTTTACCATAGGATTCAATACTGAGATACAGCAAATAGTACCTGTTTCATGCTTTCAGATTAGAAAATTTCATTAAACTCTGCTACTATCGCCAATTAGTTACTCATACATTCTCGTCACTGTAAACTAATGGAACAAAAAAGAAAGAAAAGAAAGCAAAAATAAAACAAAATACAACCCACTGGTTGTGATCTTGCACTTCTGTGGTAAATAACTTACAAAAATTCAAAGAAAAGAAAACGACCCTTGTTTACAGTACCAAAACCCCACTATAATTTTAGACCCCCTTAAAAACCTTAAGTCTATAAATAGCTTTACAAATATACACGTTAATTCAAATAAAACTTTTGTTTTGCTTTTTTAAGATTAAATGTTTACATGATCTCAACAGTGTATAATCACTTGCTTTAAAAATGTTGCCTTTCTTCTCTTTTTTAGTACACTGCTACCGACTGCAATATGATACATATTTATATCTATATATTTACAATAAAAACTTTAAGATACATACAAAGCACACAGTTATATATATTTATCTTCCAATTAAATCTCACATCTAGGAGACCTCTCTCTCTTTCCTTCTTAAAAAAAGGATCTTTGTGAGGAGTGGAGAAAAGAGACTGGCCATGGGTTTGATTCTCACTCCAGTCAGATATTGCTGTAAAATCACTTCTTGTCCACGTTCGACAGGACGACTCTTATCCGAACTGTGCCATCACACAGTGTTGATCCATTCTTAGTTAGTTCAGCAATTGTGTGTTTTTTTCTGTTTTTTTTTTTTGGTAGGCACGGAATGGTTTGACCCTTCTCACTGTGGAAAAACGAAACTGGCCGAATACAAAAATAGGAATTCTCTTTTCAAAGACAAAAAGCTGAATAATGATTTGGAAGAAAAGCAGGTGCTGAAGGAGAAAAGCTAAATCCGTCCTTCAAACCTGCGAACAGCTGAAAGTCTGAAGCTTTCATGAGATCCCCACACTGCGCTTCTCTGCCACATGCTGGTCCAGTGCAGCCAAACCCTAAAGCTCCCTGTTTTTTTTTTTCTTTATGTTCGTATGACCCCGTTGCTGTGGTGGTGTTTAGGGAGGCATGGCTCCTCAGGTAAGGGGTCGTGGGCAAACACAGAGTCATCGCCAGAGGAACAGGTGCTGTTGGAGTCCGGACAGGTCGGTGAATACTGCTCGAACGGTACAGAGAGGTCCAGGTACTCCTAAAATATTAAACGCAGGATTTGTCAGGATTGGCTGTAGGAGTTGAGTGTGAAAGGTTTAAGGTGTTTGGTTTGATGCACCAGAGCTCTTACGTCAGTGGAGGTCATGGAAAGAACCCTGTCGTGGTCCTCCACCAGCTGTCTGAACGTGGGTCTTTGTGAAGGAACAGCATGCCAACATTCTCGCATGATCATGTACCTGCACAGATCACAACATACAAAACAAAGCATTACCATTGTGCTTTTTAATTAACATTAGAACTACAGGAATTCTATAACTACTAGAATGGCCAATAGTAGCCATCCTGACCTTTCTTACTGCACCAAATTGAACTTTATATTACACCATATTTACATTTGAGATTTGAATGTCTGTCGTGGTGTTTCATAAAGTCATTAAACTACAAATCTTTTTTTTTAGTATAGCCTATAATTGTGTATGTATTACGAGACTGCGCTTGAAGGTGCATACTTCATTTTGTCCAGCAAGCAGGAGAGCAGTTTTTAACACACTGAAAATTTAGCTTTTTAAAGTTTGAAAGATATTTTTGAAGTTGTGTTTTTTTGCTATTAGAAAGTTCTATTTGTAGCAAAGATAAGAATCGGTTCATCTAACAGATGCTGGAGAGAATGTGGTGATCATTTAGGGAACCACCCTCATACTCTCATATCATATTGCCCCAAAATGTGGCAGTTCTGGGATAATGTCTTTATGGTACTTAAGACACTGTACTGATATTTCCTTTGATCCAACTGTGGCAGTCCTAGGTATAGTGCCTAAGAGCATGGGGGAAGAGTTATTTACCCAGACCCACCTATATATGATCAATGCATACAAAAAATTAGAGAAATTTCGAAAATTGGAAGAATAACTTATAGCCTTATACTCTAGATGAATATATTTGAAGCAAGATGGAATGACCCCTACATACACACTCTTCAATTCTTCAATACCACACATATTATTTTAAAATAACACTGTGCAAATCTTAGAAAAAAGATGTATTATGAGTTAATTATAAGTTATTATAAGTTGTTGTTAGCACAAAGTTGCTGGGCAACAAAGCCATGCATATTCAAAGACATGGGAAATAGTAGCAGTGGTAAAAAAAAAAAAAACTCTTTGTGTTTTGTAACTTAAATAAAATTAGAATGTTAGAATGAAAATAAACACATTTAGGAAAAGTCATGGTACTATAGTTATGTGGTTTTTATTATACAGTATGTGTCAACTTCAAATTGTAAATTAGAGCCTTAATAAATCAGCCTTCAAATGTTATGTCTTGAATTACGCATTCTTCTTGCCAACTTTTTTTTTTTTTTTTTTTTTTGTAGCTTTGAAGTTTTTATTTTGGAGAAAACCATTAAGGGCCCTTAAAAGCCACAATAGAGAAGCAAACAAGTGTGATGTCATGTTGAACAAAACCAGTCCAAAATTAAATTTGTTTGAAGTTTGTAACAGCTTGACAAAACACCTTAGAACACCCACTAGTCCATGGCAATTATGTAATAGGTGGGCGTAGCCCTAAAACTTTTCATACTAGGGAATTCTCTCTCTTTAATTACTTTCCTTAATATGTTGGGTCTGACATCCATAAACAAAAAAATCATCATTAAAGAGCTGCTTAATATTAGAAATTGAAGCATAATTCTAATCGAAAGCAATGTTGACTGTTTTTTCATGTATTTGAGGTTTTCTTACTTTAATGGATCATTGCACTTATTTCAAACCAGTTTTTTTTTTTTTTGCGTTCTGTTAAACACAAAAGAATGTGTTTTGAAGAATGTTGGAAACCGACAACCATTTACATCCATAATATGAAAAACAAATCCTCTGGATGTCAATGGTTACTAATGTTCTTCAATATGTCAATCTTCAACAGCAAACAAACAAACAAAATGATTTGGAAGAAGTCAAATGTGAGTAAATGATAAGAGAAACTTAATTTTAGTGAGAGCTATCCCTTTTAACTGATTTACTGTATACTGAACATCTTATATGGCAACACTGTGGCTCAGTGGTTAGCACTGCTGCCTCACAGCAAGAAGGTCTCTGGTTGAGCCTCGTCTGGGACAGTTGGCATTTCTGTGTGGAGTTTGCATGTTCTCTCTGTGTTTCATGGGTTTCCTCTGGGTGTTCCAGTTTCCCCCACAGTCCAAAGATATGTGATGATCTGGATGAATTCAATAAACTAAATTGGCCAATAAACTAAACTGCATTCGGCTGTGTATGTGTGCGAATGAATGAGTGTGTATGGATGTTTCCCAGTACTGGGTTGAAGCTGGAAGGACATTCACTGTGTACAACATATGCTGGATAAGTTGGCGGTTCATTCCGCTGTGGCAACCACTGATTAATAAATGGACTAAGTTGAAGGAAAATGAGAAAATGAACTTCTTATATAATAAAAGCATGGAAAACTTGACTGTAGAGCTAAATTGCTAATGATCAACCCTACACTGCAACAATTCTTCATGAGATGAATTAAAACATGAGGCGTTTTTAAAGATGAATAACAAGCGTACAGTTCATGAGTGCAGTTGGCCGGTTTGTCCATTCGATGGCCTTCCTTCAGCAGTTTAAAGAGCTCCTCCACTGGGATACCTGGATACGGGGATCCACCAAGAGTGAAAATCTCCCACAACAACACACCATAAGACCACCTGAGAAGACAAAAGAGCACATATAAGATGATAGTCACACGGTATACCACACACGGTATATTCACTGACCAAATATAAACACTTGTTATTTGGCGGTTGTTATTAAAAAAAAGTGGAGTTAACAATACTCTCACTATCTGTGGCTCTCTCTGGGGTGTAGATATTTGGCAGATGTGAGAGAGGAGTTTTTTCGGTTCTCACTGAGGCTGTATGTCTGTGATATGAGATGCGAGTCTATTAAACTAGAGCGAGTGTGTGCGCACACATATGTGTATGTGGGTGTGTGTTATCACAAGCTGGTCTGTTAACTCAGGGCTCTTTTGTTTTGGCCCCATTCCTCCCACGCCACCACTGAGCAGTGCTAATCAAATTAGCCACGCTAAGAGACAACAGGAGCTATGGGCCAGCTAAAGCTAGCCAGCCAAACACACACATGGTGAGTTAGAAGCCTTATGGGAGCCAAATAATTGGCTCGTCATTATATCACTATCCGTTCATTAGCTTTATGTTGGAGTCAAATCTCATTTACACCCATCAGTGTGGCGCTAACACAACACACACACACATAGAGCAGATTGAGCGAGCGAAGGGCTTGCTGCTCATATATCATCGTGTAAGTAGAGCCTATAGGCAGAGGCGGATGATATTATTTGATTACCGCTGTCTCAGTCCAGCTGTGATTAAAGAGTATTTAGACATATTGGAAAGTGCAGCTCCGGGTACCAGTCTGAGTGTGATGAATGGGAGTTCATTCAGCTGGGAGACTGTGTGCGATGTACTAACATACTAATCAAAACCTGATGTATAAGTACACACTAGTCTGGTGGCACACATACACATATGTAGTCTTCAAATGTTTGGGACTAGTAAAGTTTTTTTTTTTTTTTTTTTTTTTTAAAGAGATTAACACATTTATTTATTAAGAATGCATTAAACTGGTCAAAAGTGATAATAAAGACATGTATAATGTTAGTAAAAATGAAAAAAAAAATATATATGACTGACACTGCTGACGTATGGATGTTATTATGCCGTGACTTTTGCTCATTGAAGGGATTGGTGGTCTTTGAAAGGGGAATTGTTTTTCATTTATTTGAATATCCTGATCACATGACATAACACATCCATATTTCAGCAGGGCCTGTCATGTTGTAGGGTCCCCTTGAAACATTTCCATTGTGTTACGTGGATATTTGCAAATGTTGTGACCAATTTGCTGCGCATTTCATCAGTTGTATGTGTTGTGACCGATTTGCAACACGTGTGCTGTCAAATTGATGAAGTTTGTTTCTTTATTTGCTGGTGTTTTGTTTAAATGCATGTGCTTTCTTAAATTGCAGCACGTTAAGCTCTCTCGGCCACCTTAGATTAGGGTTTAGATTGGGTTGTTTTTGTGTTTGTTTTTAAAATATGTTACTTTTTTTGTTATTTTTGTTTTCTGCTAGCCATCTTGACCAGGATTTCCTGGCAGAAGAGATATTACATTTCAAGCAGACATTTTTAGATGGAAGAATGGATGACAGAAATGAATTCACACATCTTATTTTATGCACGTATGCATTTCTGTTGCTTTTAAAAACTGCCTGTAAGTTGCCTTTTTTATATTTTTTTATTTATTTTAGGTTTTATATTGTTTTCCTTTTTCTGTAAAGCACTTTTGTTCCACTTGGTGTTGAAGGTGCTTTATGAATAAATTGAGCTGATGTATTTTTTCAAAAACCTGCACAATAAAACCTGCTTTCCAATGTTTTTTTCTTTTTTATAGCTGGCATCAATACTGTATAATGGCAGCGTTCTGTTGCGTGTCATCATGAAATTATGTTTGACTGGCATTACCATTTAAGTAGGTACAATTTTAGTACAATTTAAGTACAATTTATACTGTAAATATACACTGTAAAAAAATCTGTAAATTGATAATTTTTCAAATTTTGTGATTAATGTTTTTACTTAATTTATTGATTCTTTTGAATTGTATTATGAGACCAACAACATTTAACCTTGAAAAGTTAGAAAAGGTGACTTTCATAAACATTTTTAAAAGTTTGAAGTGATATATTGTCTGGGATGGTGTTGTTGCAAAAACCGTGTAATAAGATGCCAGTAGATTTTCTGTTATTTTACAAACTTAGCTCTCTACATATTATTTCTTCTATTATTACTAAAATGTCAATAAAAGTCACTATTTAACTGCAGAATTGAGTTTCAACATCAAAAGACAACAGAGCAGAGATCAACATCCCACAATGCAATTCACAACCGTAAATAAACGGAAAACGAAAAATACAGAAACTGTTCATTAACAGATATGTTTTACAGTGTCTAGTACAGTATATATCTTTTCTATTACCAATTCACAAACATTTATTATTGTTAATTACAGAAAACATACATATGCTTTTCCTTGTGTTATCTACCAGTTGTCAGCCATTAAACTCAATAGATTTAATTCAGATTTCATTTCATCCTTCATGTCTCCAAGCCCAGGAAACACTGGCACCCTCTTTTGAATGGCTTTGATGCTATCGTTGCAGAGTTATGATGTTCCCTAGCATTCCTTTACCGCTTGATGAACTTTGATGAACAGATGGCATGAAGTGATGGATGGAAACAAACAAGAGGTATGCACGGTAATGTAAACTCACACATCGCTCTGGTGCGTGTAGACGCGATCGAACAGTGCTTCTGGTGCCATCCATTTGACGGGCAGACGACCCTGAAAGGACACAGATCAGTCAGAACAACAGCGGTGCTGACCCAGCAAGACATACAGACGCCCAGCGGACATCAACAGGCCTGCAGCTTAATCTCCTACTGTCCAATCTAATACAAATACACTCCAGCAGCCCCATCGGTCCTACTCCCCAATGCACTCTAATCTCCAACTGTCCCATCCAATATCCAAATACTTCACCGACCGCACCCCACATCTAAAACCTGCCGTCACAACACTGAACATCTTCATTCAATGCATGCCCTTGTGAAGGAAGCTAGTTTGATCTTGCTATAAGCTATTATAAATAAGCAGTCATTGCATTTATTAGAAGATAACGTACATCCTGATGTCGTCGTGCAGCCACAATGATTTAGACTACATCTAATGTTGTTAAATTGATGTGCATTACATTACTTCAGTGTTGTGGGTTACCATGACTGTGTTTAGTAGTTGTGTGAATGAAACTTTGCATTTTCTATATTCTATTGTGTACTTTCAATGCAAAAACTCCTTATTTAGTGAAGAGTTGCAAGCTTATTTTTACCCAAAAATAAGGTATTGATTTTGTTTTAAGAACACAATAATATGTAAGATCAGATTGTGTAAGATTAATATGATTGTTTTAAATATATATATATATATTTATTTATTTATATATTTATATATATATATATATATATATATAATTCTCCTGTTGAGTAACTCTAGTTTTAAGACTTTTTCACACACACAAAAAGCAAACTGTTGAAAAATTATTACTTATTTTTTAGGGCACCTATGATTAAAATCAGATTTTGTAAGCTGTTTGGACAAAACTGTGTTTAGTGTGGGTATAGTGTGTCAACAGTCATAATAGAGTGATCTCTATAGCTGTTTCTCAATATGCGTTCTTCAGCGTTCTTGTGTCCCCGTGTAACATCATCTTCAACTGCAAAGTTCAGTTCCAAAACTCAAAGCCGCAAGAAGAAAGTTCCCAGATGTGATCTTGATATTGAGGATGCAGACTTGAGTGCAAAACTCGCTTAAGAAGTCATAGAATTCATTGCGGCTCAATAAAGTAGCAGCATTTTATATACATAGATTTATTATTAAAGTTCAAAGATAAAACTTAATTGTTTCACTAAATGAAACGGTGAATGTTAAAATGACCCTGAAAATCTTTATAAAGGCATTAACACATTAAGGGTGTTTATTTACTGAAATCCGTATTAAAAATTGTTATATTTGTATTGTGCAAAGTGTATTTGTAAGGTCTTTATGTATAGTATTTATAGTATTTATTGTGAAAAAGAAAAAAAACTATAAATCATTGTATGAATGCTGTAATGTTTAAATAATTTTCCATTAAAAACTCGTGAATTTCATATGACCATCAGGAAGAACGTAGCCTCTCATTTCTTGCATTCTCTGTTGTCACGGTTTCCCGAGTTCGTTCTTCCGAGGTAACTTGGCAAGACCGGTCTCCACAAGAACATGAGTACGTTCTTTGCGTTCTTGGAAATGAGAAGCAGCCTATGGCTCTGACAGGCACATGGAAAAAGTGGGCGGGCAGAACTAGCAAATTTGCATTAAAGGCACAGGCAACAGCTCAAATTTCCCTGATTCAGAAAGGTATAATAAATAATCTAATAGGGATTTTGAGCTGAAACTTTTACAGAAACATTCTGGAGACACGAAAGACATCAAAAATCTTAAAAAGCCGGTACAATATTTCTTATTTCAAGAAATCTTACCAGGAATAATCATCTTACTGCACTGACAGATACTTTAAAATGTTTCTAGTCTGTATCTGTATCTGAGTCTTCTTAAATCATTCATTTATTTCTTGTATTCAGTGTTGTCAGCTTGTGGGAAAGCTGCTTGTGATGAACTTTGATTAATCATGTGACTTTCTCATCACAATCTATTTTTAGTGGTTGTCAGTGAGTATAAAATGAATATGAGTACTTTATTAAATGGTATATTTAACTGATCAAAGATATAGAAAAGTAAACACTCTTCTACTCACCCTTCACTTATTTTAAACATCTTTCGTTAAACACAAAAGAAGATATCTTGAAGAATGTTGGAGACATTTACATCTATAGCATGTTTTCCCTATTTAGAATATCACTGGCTACCTGTTTCCAGATTATTCAAAATATCTTCTTTTGAGTTCAGTCGAACATAAAACCTAAACTGCTGCTACTATTTATTTAACAAACTTAATCAAATGTATGATTTGTCACTGATCTTGAAATTTGTTATGTGAGTGTGACGAGAGTTCAGTATTCTCCATTCAAGAAAACTTGGCCTTAGATGATCAAAATGAAAGTAATAATAGTTTTAGTTAGTCGACTCTGAATACTGTTTCCTACAATGCATGGTGTGCCAGGTAAACAGTCATGTGTTTAAATCCATGCCAATACTCACACACTCTACCAATTCCAAACCTCATTCAGCTGCTCACAAACGCATCTTTAAATTTTCCTGAACACTGATTTAACAACAGTCATCTTAACATTTAAAATACAATGCATAACCATATCTGCTGTGCTCCAAAACACAATGCCACCCAAGAGCTCTCTCCTTCGAGATTGATAATCAGTGTCGACTTACGTTGGTGGTCTTCTTGTAGTAGTCAATGTTGTGCACATCTCTGGCAAGGCCGAAGTCTGCAATCTTCATCACGTTGTCCTCGGTAACCAGAACATTCCGGGCTGCGAGGTCCCTATGGATACACTGGCAACACAAACAAAGAGAGGGCCATCTTTTAAGTCTGATAAATACACACTTGGAAAATAATACCTGTCAGTATTATAAACTTTATAAACATGGCGCGTATCTTAAATGACTTCGGTTCAAACTAGTTTACAAACTAAGATAAGCAGACACATTACCTTCTTTGAGGCCAGGTACTCCATACCCCTGGCGACCTGATAGGCGCAGGACACCAGGTCTTTAAATGTTAGCGTTTCGTTTGGGATCTTACAGGTGTCGAATGAGTAGTCCATCCCAGGTGGCCTTCTGGCTCGTAAGTATTCCCTAAGATTCCCTTTAGAGGCGTATTCTACCAGCACGTACAGAGGACCTGAGTAAACACAGTCAGAACACATTCAGTCAGAAAAATCAAAGGCTAATTTCAAAGCTGAATTTGTATTGTGTGTGTGTGTGTGTGTGTGTGTGTGTGTGTGTGTGTGTGTGTGTGTGTGCTGACCGTCTTGAGTACATGCTCCCAGCAAGTTAATGATGTTCTTATGTTTCCCAATCATCTTCATCATCTCCATTTCAGACACAAGGTCTGACAGGTCTTTATCTGTGCCGTCATCTAGGAATTTAAAATGTGAATTAAAATAACAGTTTCTTTTTTTAAACAATGGTTAAAATGTTATTTATTACTGAGAGGGCAAAGCTTGATGTTCTGCAGTCATTATTTCTGTCTTTTGTCAGTTTATATTATTATTATTATTATTATTATTATTATTATTATTATTTTTGTGGCACTTACAGAAGACAACACAAAGACAGCTAGTGTTAGAAGATCAAAGCAATCTATACATTTATTTTAATTACATATGTTAATAATCACAGTGCTTCCCACAGGTTTGAAATATGCTTGCGGTGGTAGCCAGATTGAAACACACCTTTTACCCACAGCACATAACAAACAAAACAGAATTTGATTTTTAACACTGTTTTTATTATTATCTTTTTTAAACCTTTTTTTTCAATGAGTTAAAGTAAAAAAAAAAGACTGTTGAAATAAATTTTTAAAATCCACGATTTCTCTTTTATGCTATTCAGGAGCCATGTGCACCCACTGAGAGTTGAAATCGGCTTCTCTCTATCTTTCATTCAAGTTCAGGTTGCTTTATTGGCATGGCATTTTGTACAGTATTGCCGAAGCATGTTAGAGGTATAAAATATGTATTATATTGACATCATCAAATTAATAAAATATTCAGCAAATGAGAAATAAATGACAGAAAAAAAGGGAATAAAAACAGATAATATCTCTAAAGATTTTAATAATTACAACAATAACATGTGCAGGTTATTTAAATAAGACGAATGAGTTGATTACCTATTTCAAATAGTATACAAATATTCTGCAGCCAATTTAGATGTATTTTCGTCGTATTTAGTAAAGTTTGTCAGAGTCGTTTAGATTTAAGAATTAATTATTTAATGTCTCTCTTGCTATCTTGATATTTAAAAAAGAAAAAGTTACTTCAGTGAGTAAAACTGTTTCTTTTAAATCGATTAGGTGACTTTACTCAATAAAGTGAGTAAACCTGTTGCTCTAAAATTATTACGTGAACTATGCGCATAATTACGATTTATTATTAATTGTTAATTATTGCATAATATAATATTATTATTAAAAATAAGTTTATATTAAGTTTAAATAAGCTATTACAAAGAATGTATACTCTTTTAAAAGTAACTAATCAATTTTCAAAAATAAAAAACACACAAAAATGATGGCATTTGAATATACACTCACCTTTGAGCATCTTGACAGCAACAGTTAGAGGTTTGTTGGGTTTTTCTTTGTCAATCCCAATGGCTTCAGCCATCACCACCTGCCCAAAGCAGCCCTCTCCCAACGGTTTCCCCAACGTTAACCTGTAACCAAATCATCATTTAAACTCAACAAATAAACAAACAATTAGCTTCATTAAAATCATCTGATGAGTGCTTTAGCTTCAACTCACTTTGTTCGAGTAAACTCCCACTTGGGGTCAGAGGGCAGTTCAAGTTCAGACACGTTAGGCAACATCGGCCCATCGCTGGATGACAGGCGGGCGATCCTGACCAGCGGGGTGTTTGAATTCATGGAAGAGTTGGATTCCAAGGACACCTGCTTGGGTAAAGAATAAAAACAGCATGTTATTGTCCCTGCAAGACAGCGAGACAGCGAGTGCAAGAGCCAGAAAAAGAGAGAGAGGGAATCAAGATGTCTATTTTAAGAATATCATCAACTCTGAAGTGTTGTGTTGCAGACATAAACACGGTCTCTGTTCTCGGGAGAAGTGCTCCTGAGAGACAAAGGTTTGTAGCTGTCAGATCTACCTGTAATGGACCACAGAAGATTGTGTGTGAAGAAACATTTTCCCTGATGCCGCACATGCACACACACACATCTTTTTTTCCCTTAGATTTAACCCATTAATTCTACATAAATAAATATATATTTTTTGACAGTAACTAGACAGGAAGCGAAGTTGGAATGAGAGAGGAAAGGTCTACAAGATTTGAACTCAGAATGTTTGATGTAACATTTTTATTCCTCCTCATATTCTTTTAACCAAAAAAAATATTTATCAGCATGTGGGATGGAACAGCCAATCCCTCAGATGAGATCCACCAACTGGATCTCATAAGTAAACATAACTATTTTATATATTGTCAGAAAAGTGGCTGATTCGTTTAAATTTATATTTATGATATTTTAAAAGAAGACATGCCACCAATCCCCACCGCTAAACCCAACCATCATTAGAGCATCTCATGTACTAAATGTACAAATTAATGTCCAATTCATAAAAATTACCCACTAAATCAAAAAGTTACGAATTGCCATGCTGGATTGGATCTATCAACAGCAAAACAAAAAAAGTGATCCAACCCAATCTCATGGATATTCATACCTTTTTGATTTAGTGGCCAAATCAGTGGCCACTAATGTTTCTGAAGCATCTGAGAAGCAACTTCACTAGGATAAATGTCACAATAGATAAAGTTTTCATTTCATTCCATCTTTAAGCATTCAAAACTTTGTTAAAGGTGTAGTTCAGGGGTGACACGGTGGCTCAGTGGTTAGCACTGCCGCCTCACAGCAAGAACACTGCTGGTTCGAGTCCTGGCTGAGTCAGTTGGCATGTTTTCCCTGTGTTTGAGTGGATTTCCTCTGGGTGCTCCCGTTTAACCCACAGTCCAAAGAATAAACTAAATTGGCTGTAGTATATGTGTGTGGATTTGAGAGTGTATGGGTGTTCCCCAGTACTGGGTTGCATCTGGAAGGGCATCCACTGTGTAAAACATATGCTGGATACGTTGGCGGCTCTTACCGCTGTGGCGATCCCTTATAAATAAGTGACTAAGGCGAAGGAAAATTAATGAATAAATGAATAAATGGGATAGTTCAATTAAGAATGACAATTTACTTACTATTCACATTTTGAGTGGTTTCAAACGATTATGAGTTTCTTTATTCCGCTAAACATGAAATAAGATATTTTGCAGAAAGCTGCAGAAGCTAAGACTTCCATACAGGGTTCATTCACATTTTTACTACTAAAATTCAATGACTTTTCCATGACTTTCAAGTACATTTTCATGAACTATTGTTTTACGCAACGTCTATGTATACGTGGTAAATAAAAAGAAAAATAATGCAGCTTCATATCATAACACATGCTTCAATCTATTTAGTTTTTTAATTAATCTTTATATCTATGTAATATGTATTTAGATAATGCTCTCACAGCGCTAATAATGTGAGAGCATGTGTTTGTTTGCATGTGAAGTGAAGACAACTAACCCATATTTAAGTATACGGATATTTTTTAAACTAATTTCCATGACTTTTCCAAAACTTTGTGGGCTTTTCAGGTCTTACAAAACTTTTTCAGGCCTGGAAAGTGCCATGTCAAAATTCCATAACTTTTCCAGGTTTTTCATGACCGTAAACAAATAGTATGGAAATTAATGGTTTCAGCATTTTTCAAAATATCTTCATTTATTTTCAACAGAATAAAATCATCCAGATTCGAAACACATAAAAGGTAGGTGAATGTTGACAGAATCTTCATTTTTGTGAACGATGTATTTAAAAGCAATGACATTGTTATAACTAAATCATTGCATGTTGAATTTAAGCTGTCCTATATTTTTGATCATTGAATCTTTGGATGTTCTTGGCTGTCTAACTCTTTTTCTAATCTTAAATATTTAGGTCTAACTTTAGATATTGACATTCCAAAAGCATGCCAAGAACGTTGTTAAAGTTGTTAAATTTAATCTGGCCAATTTCAGGCATATACAACCTTACTGGACTAATGAAGCAGCAAAACTTTTCATGCACTCCATGATTTTGTCTTATATTATATGTTGTCTTACTAGTTGGTCACACATCAGTAAAACAGTTGAATCACTATAAACAGACACTTAAAGTATCTGATCAGAAGACGTTTAGGTATCATCTTTGTAATATTATACAATAACATTATTTATTGAGCTTTGATAATATAAATGATGGATGCTTGTATGATTTAAAAAAAATGTAAACAGATATGCTCCAACTCCATTGTGTGAGTTTGTGATACACAAGAATAATAATAGTCAAGCAACACAATCTATTACTAGAGGAGACTGTGCTGTAGACGTACAACCTTTTCACGGTCAGTGTTCTCAGTTAGAGCCAGTCATTTCTGGAACACACTTCCTATTGATTTAAGGGCTATTACACATTATTTAACATTTAAATACAAGTTAAAGAAATGGGAAAAAGCAAATCAAGTTTCATGTGTAATCATGTGTAATTTTTCTCTCTCGATTTTTATGAAATTCTTATTATATGTTTTATCCCTTTTCTGTATGTAACTTTACTATTATTGTATGTGTAATAATGTATTTTCTTTATTTTAGGTTGCCTTTATTTTAAATTTGGAAGGGGGGCAACAGATAAAAATTAGCCCTTGTGGGTAACTCTTAACAGTTTTACTGTTGATTGATGAGGATTGTCCCTGTTAAATAAATAAATTTCAATTTTTTCGCCAAAATCAGCACACTTAAATCTTATTTTTAGTTCTTTCCAAGCACTGCTATTTCTTTCAGGAAATGCAAATCCATCTAGATTTTGATGACGCACTGAGAAAATATGTCAGCTGCAGGAAGATCAAACTGTCTGACAATGATATCTCAATATTTTCTAAAATCAGAACTACAGAAGTAGCTCACAATACACCTACACACTTTCTATTTGAAGAAAAGAGATAAAAAAACAAAACCGCAACATGATTATGTAGCTTGCGCTGATTCCAGTGTGACATTGTCAGACTTTGATTGCTGGAAATAACTTGAGGGGAAAAAGAAGAAGAGATGGAGAGAGGGAGCAACAGAGATTAGAGAGACAGTGCGTGTCAGTTGCAGCTGCCATGATTTAAAATGTTTAAAACAACTGAGAGAGAGAGCAAGTTTCACCAGGAGAGAAACATGATCAGTCACCAGGAGAGCATGGATATTCCTCTGCCACATGACATACACAGAGAACGTCTTTATACACCTAGCAGCCCAAGTGGCTCCAAACATTTTCTTTTTTCTGTTCAACACAAAAGAAGATATTTTAAAGAATGTCAGAAACTGTGAGACACGGACTCCATAGTATGAAAAAAGCAAGTCAATATGGAAGTCAATATCTACCAGTTTCCTGTATGCTTTAAAATATCTTCTTTTGTATTCAATAGAAGAAAGAAAATTAACAAGTGTGGATCAAGAGAGTAAATGATGACAGCATTTTCTTAGAATTTGTAAACTGTCCCTTTAAACATTGCAAAAAGGCATTTTTGTTTAATTTCTAGTCCAAGTATCCAAATGTTTTTTAATCAAAAAGCATTTTCTAGACAAGCAAAAATATTGTCATTATTATTATTGTCAACATGTTATTTCTGAAAACAGAACAATATTTCTTGCTCGTCTAAAAAATGCTTCTTGATTGAACAATTTTCAGATATTTACCAGTTTCCAACATTGTTCAAAATATATTATTTTGTGTTCAATAGAAGTAAGAAATCTAACAAGTGTGAATCATGAGAGTAAGGGATGATAGCATTTTCATTGAACTGGTGAACTGTCACACTGCAAACTATTTTTTTCTTACAGGAGTGTTTGTCTTGTTTCTTGTTCAAATATCTAAACATTCTTAAATCAAAAAGCATTTTCTTTAAAAGCAAAAAATATTGTCATTATCATTATTGTCAATAATTTTTAAATTATTTCTTACAACAAGACAGCATTTTTTGCTTCTTGATTTAAGAATTTGTACATACTACGACTTGAAACAAGACAAAAAATTTCAATAAAAAAGCTTTTTAAGCAGTTTTTGGCAGCTTTTTTTTAAATAGGCTTATTTTTATTATCTGGAGTTTAACAGTTAAATTTTTCCATTTTGGAATCCACTAATCTAATCTAAGACATTAGCTTAGCTTAGATCAGCTTAGCTTAGCTTAGCATAAATCATTGAATTGCATTATACCATTAGTATCTAGCTTAGACCTGGAGATGGCTGAATGGATTTGAAAATGATACAACTCTAATGTTTAACTCTAGGTGATTTGTAAAATGAGCCTATTTTCAAAAAAACAAACAAACAAACAAACAAACAAACAAACAAACAAACAAACAAACAAACAAATAAATAAATAAATTGATCATTAAATAAATAGATCAATAAATAAATAGATAAATAAGTAAATACACAAATAAAAATATAGAAATAAATAAACAGATGAATAAATAAATAGATAAATAAATATATAGATAAAGAGATAAATAAATAAATAAATAAATAGATAAATAAATAAATAAATAAATACACACACAAATAGATAATAAATAAATAAATAAAGAGATAGACAAATAAATAAATAGATAGATAAATAAATAAATACATAGAGAAAAATAAATAAATTAATGGACAAATAAATAAATAGATAGATAAAAATAAAATAAATAAATAAATAAATAAATAAATAAATAAATAAATAAATAAATAAATAAATAAATAAATAAATAAATAAATGTGTAGTAGTTTAGAGAGGAGATAAAGATAGAGTAGAGGAAATAGGTTGATCAAATCTTGTATCTACTTTCTGTTACCTGTCTCTTGAGGGGGAATTTGGACAGTTTTTGAACAGGTGGTGCCGGGAGAGTCTTCTGCGTGTTTATCCACATTCGGCAGAGAATAATGATGACCATGGTGAGAATGAAGAGCACGCAGCTTGTCACATAGATGAGGATGTCTGCATAATCATCCTCTCTCTCCATCTCCACCGCTGACACAGAGCACAAAAGCACAGATCAGACTTCTAGTAATGACAACATGAGACATATGCACCAAACATTTTGCACAATAAACTAAAATGCCACCTTCTGTGCTACATAGCAGATGCAAAATAAATGAAAACTCAATTCAGAATTCGGGTTACTTCCAGTGAGTGGGATTCCTGGGATCGTTCACACCAAAATTTAAATGTCCTCTCAATTTACCCACACTGATGGGGTTTCAAACCAATCAAGTTTATGTATCAAGTTGAACGCTAAAGAAGATATTTTGAAGAAAAGTGAAAACCCGTAACCACTGACTTCTATAGCAGGAAAAACAATCACAAGGCAAGTCAATGGTTCCAGGTTGGAAGCTTGTCCTCAAAAAAATCTTCAAAATCAACAAAATCAAACAGGTTTGGAACATTTAAACTATTACCTAAACTATTCCATTTAAGTACGTAACCACTGGACCCCCTAAAATATATTGACTACTTCCGTAGGCAGTAAAAAAAAAACATTTGACTGGTTTGTAATCAAAGTAAATATCCTTTTCATTTAATGTGTTTTAATAGCTAAAAAAAAATACTTTCCACCTATTTCTTGTTTCAAAATGTATTTATAAACAAGGTATTCATGCCTCACTGTATTGTACCAAAACAAACTAATTACAAACTCACTGGTCAAATACAATCCACATCCTTTTGATTTGCTTGCTGGGATGCTGTGTAACATGGGTTTGTTCATTTAATAATACTTATGCACTACATTGCAAGTGAGCAATGTTAATATTGATAGAATAGATTCGCAATTTTTAAGAATCGACATTGAATTAACCATGTTATTAATAAAGCTTATTAAAACACCAAATCCAAAACAAACTGGCCACTAATTACAATCTCGAGACTTTAATTTAAGAGTAACTTTACAAACAAATCTTACTAATGGTTAGATTAAAAATGTAAATTCCGCCAACATTTAATCAATGGCTACAAGTTAACAGCATTCTTCAAAATATTTTCTTTAGTGTTCAACAGAAAAAACACAATTGAGGGTGAGTAAAATGTAATTTTTTGTAGGTGAAATATCCTTTAAGTCAATCATTATTTATTTTTCTCGATTAAAGGTCTGCAGTTAATTTACAGCCACCTTTAAAACTAATTAGCATGCTATTGCACCCCCATGCAGGTACAAACATCCTATAATGTCCCTCTCTCCGGGAGGCTTATTTGGCACTTGTGCGATGAGCTCCACAGATTGAGTTCAGTGGCTCTACACGAGACCAGCGATTTTAATTACAGCAGCAGAACGGAGAGCAGGATAACAGGATGAGCGCAGGGGATGTAAGAATTAATGAATCGGGCCTCCCAGATACTGGGACTCTGTGCCATCAGTAAATACTCCAGCAAACACGACAAGCACTTCCATCACGAGCGCATGAGTTATCAAGTGGAAACAGTCGATGAGGAAAACCCATCATCTATTTTTTCGCGCTTAAATCTAAAAACAATTAAAAACTACTAGGGTGTTTTTCTAAGGATTTTAGTTGAGTGCCATATTTAATTTGATGTGACTAAAAAGAAACAGACGTCTAGTCAAATACTGACATGTTCCGATACTCTTTTTTTTCCCCTTTCCAATTCCAATTTCTGGGCTCAGGTTACAGAGTACTGATACCTGATTGTATATCTGTATATACAACTAGCATTTTATGAGTTCATAGAATTGCTTCATTTTATTGTAAGCTTCAGACTTGTACCTTCATAAAACATGAATAAATACAAAAGGCCCTAACATACACCTGGCACAATAAGGCACAAGACGTGTTTGGCACGATTTGTTGCTATTTTCAGACCAGCACAACCCTAATTTTCATATTTTGTACTCCGTTATTTAAATAGCAAATCTATTTGAACCAATTTGTGGACTCATGGGCGTGCTGCTCTAAAAAGGAGGTGTGTTGAGGCGCATTGTTGGTGTGTTTTTCGGAGCTGAAATAGACATTGACCATAAACCAACTAAAAGCTGATCTAAAGTCCAGCACAGAGCACGTTAGTTATGTGCCTAAGTAGGTCCAAACGCTCACACATTGCTTGATATACATATAGGATGTTCAGCAGGGAATCGGTTTGTTCATGACAATTCGCATTAGTATAATATTATTATTAGTTGTAGTGTTATTTGTTATATGCATATTTAAATTTGTTCTAATAAAAAGAAGATTAGATTTATCCACCAAGATTAGATTTGTTTTGGCGACGTATGCATCACTATATTGGTTATAAGAATAAGACGTGTGTTTGGATATAATAATATTTTTTTGTAACATACTATTATCTACATTACTATTCGCTATTATTGTTCATTTATGTGTTTGCTGGAAATTAGGACTGAATTTAGAAATTGTTTTTTAAACAAATCTGTGTGCTTAAAAAACAATATGTTTCCTTATCCACGAAAGTAAAGGAGTAAAGAGTTCAAAGCAAAGTAAATAGAAAGTAAAGAGGTGGAATGGAGGAGGCTCGTTCTTTATCCTCGCACAGTTTGATACTTTTTTCTTGCTAGTGTAGCGTTCAGTTATTCCACTAATAAAGTACGCCATGTAAATAGCAAATGCGCCAAAAAACACAACTGACTCTTATGGGAGATGAGACTCTGATTGGTTTAAGGTACGTTATGCTTAAAACAGACCTATAACTAGACCATGCACCGTGGCGCAAACCGTATTTTTCCATCCTTAAAATAGCAGAAGTGTATTTGAGCACGCCTTAATGCTTCTGCGCCCTAGACTTTGCGCATAGATCTTTAAAACAGAGTCCATACAGTAAACTAAAGTATTTTTATTATTTAATATTTATTTAACAAATAGTAATATAATTCACTGTTCTTCACTGTAAAAAGTACAATGCAGCTACAAATCAGATACTGTAAAGTGAAATGTGTATTTTTATTTCACACTATAAAACAAACAAATCTAAAATTATAAAAAACTATATATAAATAAGATAAGATAATCTCTCTAAAACAAAGTCCATAAACAATTTTGTTGACTGGTCATCCAAAACAATAATAAATTAGTTGCTCTTTAATCTTAATTGCTCATTGGCTGTCTATTGAAAACTTTGTTTCAATGGGGTTACCATACGTTATGATTCTGGAACGGTACATCCTAATGTTTACTAGTCTTCAATTTACTATTTAACTTATGCCAAAGTTGCATCATTGCATAATATTATTGCATACGGGACACCATGGGTCACCATTTTACTGGTTAGAAACTTTTGTCTTGTTCCTAGTACAAATATGTAAAAATTCTTAAATCAAAAAGCTGTCTCGTTTTCAGAAATAATATGTATTATGACACATATAACACAGTTATACATATAATACAGATAATCTGTTAATGGATTTTTTTTAAACATGCAAAAATACTCTGCCAATGGGATCAATAAAATATCAAAATTTTTTGCAGTGTTGTTTTATTCTGAAATACTGCCAACACTGGATGGTATATTTTGATTTCTTTTTTCACTGCTTTAAACTGTGGCAACACAGCTTCCTGTGCTGGTTTTCTGTGCAGCAAAGGAGAATGGATTTATAGTTTGCAGTGTTAAGCAAAGCTATTATGGTATAATTAACAGTATAATTATAGTGCATCAATTACTCTCCGATACCGATCCCAGGATTTTTTGTGGTATTAGTAGCATTTTTGATAGTAGTATCAGAATTGGAACAACCCAAGTCATATAACATTAAAAACATTTCAAAAGCATAAGATGCAAAGACAACTTGGAAAACATGAAGTACTGAAACTTAGAGGAAAAAGAAAACCCCGGAAAGTGAGCCTATACCTGGTAAGACTGTAAGCCAAGCAGAGTGATGGTTATAGCCAATCGAGTTCCCTGCCAGACAAGTGTATTGCCCCGCATCCTCGAAAGACACATTGGTCAGGTAGAGAATCTCCAGCTCTTTATCCGTAGTATTTATCCCAGCAGTCTGGAAAAAGCAGAGAGAGAAAAAGGAAAGACGGAAAAGCTTAAACCAGAACCCTTGAGAAAAAGCACAGCACCCATCACCAGGAGAAAGATCTGAACAAGAGAAGATCAGTCAACCCATCACCAGTAACCCAGAAATACCACCATCCTGCTCATAAGGAGATGACCTAGAATGCAAAGTGAAACTCTAGTGGGAAATTGAACGCCCCGTCAGCAAAAGCAGGTCACATTAGTTCTCATCCAGAGCGCCGGTTTAAAGAATATCACCAGATTTAAGTTTAATTTACCATCTTGCTAGAAAATAAAACCGAAACCTATTTATGTATTAGCATGTGTCTCAACACTCAAGAGAGCAAGTAAGTGAGAAAATCAATGAGAGAGTGTGTGTGTGTCTCAGGTGCTATTAAACACACCCCTGCTGCATTGATTGGTAAGAAGAGCAAGAAGAAGCGATCACTTAAATGAAACAGACTGGCCGCAAACAACAAGCCCTTGAATGAAGTCACCTTATTTATTGTGCGAGAAGAGCAGTGAGAGACAGAGGGAGTTCAGGGAAGCTT